TGACTGGGAATCGAACCACGATACTCTGGTTCGCAGGCCTGTGCTCAATCCATTGAGCTATACCCAGCCAGGGCTCGATTCTTTAATTAACCTAAAATGATCAGATTTCCTCAACTGTCACCAAAATGTCTTCTTATAACAGGTCTCTTCGAACAGGATCCAAACAAGATCCACGCAATACATTTGATTGGTATCTACACTCTTTTCATCTGTAACAGTTCCGTCTTCAAAAATGCCATTTACCGACTGACAAAGGAATCTGCGCTGTAGGATTTCTCACATTCAGAAACAAGATAACTGCTTCCTCACAATCGGTTTGTTCCTCTATCCCCACGGATCTGTGCTTCTATTAGGCTTGGGTTCCGTCTTCATTTGGTGGGGGGAAATTTTCAGACAGCGCCATGCACCTGCCACTACAGTGCCACAGGCACATCCTGCCTGGCTGCTCCAAACGTCTCATGCACACCCCCTCCAAGCGAGCCACCTAGGTCCCTGAAGCCAGGAGTCACTCCCACCCTCACGGAGCTTGGATTTGAAACTGGAGTTGTACCCACTACAGCAGACGCACACACACACGCACAAAAGAACTCTATTGTGGTTTCTTTCTTTTGTGAAGAGAGGTTTTTTTAAGTGTTTTTGATACTCAAAAAACTTTGACGACATCTAGACCTAACACAATTCGGTCATTTTACAAAAGAAACAGAGAAAGCACGGGGTTGGTGGTTTCCACAATGCTGGTCCCGAGCAGAATCAGAAGTGAAACAAACGGATCCTAATAATGGTGATCACTTATTATAACAACTTTAAGACAGCAATTATAAAATAGATAGCACTTAACAGATACTCTGTGCTTGATGCAAAGGGCTTTATAAATAACATCTTCTCTAATTCTCATGACCTTCTGAAATAATTATAACTATCATTCTCATTTTGAGAGTAACAGTAGCTCAGAAAGGCCAAGTAATTCACCCAAGATTGCACAGCCAGTTAAAAACAAAGCTGAATATATATATATATATATATACAAATATACAATCATTATGTTATACACCTGAAACTAATAGAATATTACATGGCAACTATAACCCAACACAGAAAAAGCAGCAGTAGCAAGAAGCAAAGCTGGGGCTCAGCAGAGCAGACTACATAACTCCAGAGTAGAGCTCTTACTTGCACCCAGGCTACTTCTAGTAGTGGGGGAAGGGAGAACCGGGGGCTGAAGTAGGTCTAGGGCTGTGAGGTCTTCACACAGTGAAGACTGAGGCCCAGATCCACAGATGCCTCACCGAGTGCCATGGGGTAGGGGGACCTGAGGAAGGGCCCGACCCCAGGAAGGGAAGTAGAGAAAGGACGTGGAAGTTCATCTGAGGCCAGTTCAGTGGGGCAGAGGATCCCTGGGGTTGCCATGGGCTAGTTGAGATTATAAACCCTTTTTTATTTTGTGCCATCAGCTATACTTCAAGGGACACAGAGAAAAGTGATGCCCACGACAGAAACACTCAAGGCTTAGACCCTGCCCCCAGCTTTCCTTTAAAGAGAAATCAAGAGAAAGACTGCAGCACGGGTCAGTGTAAGCCAGAGCTGCCACACGACCAAGCCCCTGGCTCCCCACACAGCGCTGGGCAGAAGCAGGCAGCGACTCGGCCCACTGCACGTGTGCTCAGCCACAGTGAGCCTTCCCTTCAGTCAGATCGGCCTTTCCCCACAGCCGAGAGCACGTGTGCACTCCCCCAACAGGTAAACTTAACGAAAGGCAAATAAACAAGTTAAAACTGACTTTTAAAGCAGCCACCCAAAGCAAAAATAGCCAATTCTTTGGATAACCGACATTTAAGATTATCCATCCCATGTTCTTTATGTCTGCGGATAAGCAAGATTCCCTTTTAAGAAGACGACCCCATATATTTCGTGGAGTACCAACACAATATCAGAAAAGGAAAGTATTACTCCATTCTCCAACCTCCTCCTTCTACAGGGAAAAATCAAGAGACGCGGGAAGAGTCCCGGAAAGTCCCACGGTCTCAGTCCCCCAGACATTGTATAACTGCTGCCACATATCAGGCAGTGGGCTAAATGCTTTACGCATATCACGGCGAATGCCCACAATAGACCCAAGAGGCAAATAAACCATCATTTAATCCCTATATACAAATGGGGAAGCTGAGGTGCAGAATGGGTAAGGAACTCACTCAAGGAGGCACAGCTAGCTAGTAAGTGGTAAGAGCTGGCGTTTGAACCCATGTGGTTTTGACCCTAGAACCATCATTTCTTCTTTTAACTAAGATGTCCTGTGTGTCTCTGGTACTTATGCTAAGAGTTGTGGTGAGGAAAAGAAAAATAGTTAAACGTTTTCAAAATATTCTCAGGGAGGGAAATACAAAAAGCCAAAATGCAAATCCCAAGATTCGAAACTAAGAATGTAAGACGTGGAAGCTTAAGCCAGAATAAAGAACCCCATAAGCAAGGAGGGAATATCAAAAAACATCTTTTATTACTAGTTACTGCATGTGTCCCTTAAAGAACTAAAACACTAGCATCTGAGCCAAAAGGAGAGCTAAAAATAGGCATTTGCAGCAAGCTTTGGAAAGCTTTTTGTTTGCTTATGAGGCACTCATTTCTGTAGACTCCCAAAAACATATGCATCACAGAACACAAAAATTCCCAAGACCACCACTCCACTGGTGTCACATTTAAACCTGTCCAAGCTACAAATAAACTCAGGGCTGGAAAGGGCCTTAGAGATCCATGTAGACTACAAAGAAAGGACCATTTAACCTTACCAGACAAGTCACTCATGAAATTCTCCCCTCTAAAGAAAGCATCCAGGCCCTAACTACAGATTCAACGGAAGCCACTGAATTAATTCAGTTAATCTGTCTATGACTATTCCAAAATTTCCAAATCGATGAGACGACACTTTCTTGCCTTAAGATTCCAGGGAAAAAAAGAACAGAACAAATCTATCCGACTCAGAATTTTGCTCTGAGCAAGCAAGCTAGCTTCCCTGCTCAGAGAAAAGGTGAGATGTCAGCCAAGCTGTCTTCTTCCCACGATCAATAACCCCAGTGACGCACCCTATCAGGGGCCCCTGGACTTGCACAAAATACCAGCTCAGGCACCCAATACCACCTGATGTCATGGCTGATTTAAAACCCACAAGGCAGGTTCACCATTGGCTAGGCAGCAGCAGCCGCCGGAGTAAGTAGCCCCATTTAAACTTCTGAGGAGTGCTCTCTCCTGGGGATGATTATACCCCTTTGAGTTTAAAGAGGGGGAAGGACCACAGAGTGTCTTAGTTGCTTTCCCTCCCTCTGTGGGTGGATCAGGAGGGATATGCAAGAAAATGGAGGTTTCAGCACTGCCCTTTGCATAAGAGGGCTCTGGAAGGGAAAAGGGGGAAGGGCAGAACAGAAGGAAGAGAACCCGGTCTGAGGTACTTTAGTAAACCTCCAATGTTCTCCAAATGAAGCAACCTTAAAAAAAAATAAAATTGCAACACGCCATATTCAGAATTAGCTGTTCTGGCTTTCCTAGGTCTAAGAGTGACCCTACTCCCTTGAAAGTGAAGGAATTAAGCTCTCTTCTGCAACTTTCCCCATTTTGATGGTTTAAACCTCAACCAGAGACTGCAGAAGGGGAGGAGTTTTGAAAAAGCACTAGGGCTATGGCCACAGACCATCCTTCTAACTACAATCGGGTTTTGATACTGGCCCACTTCAAAAGGACACCAAACCAAAGAATCCAGACGCCACATGCCCCTACGCGCCGGCAAAGGGGGGGAGAGGGCGCGCTCCAAACCAAGCCGACAGTCTATTCTCGGCAAAGGGAGGCCCAGATGAGCCTCCATATTCTCCACGGCCTCCCTCCCCATATTGACAAAGCTCCTTTGGGATTTCCTGCACCCCCCACCTCCCCTGAGACCCGGCCCAAAAGGACCAAAAAATTGAGGGACAGGGAGAGCGCGGGGACCGCAGGTCACATGCCGCTCCCCGCGCGGGGAGGCACCACGTTGTCCCGGCTGCGGAGGAATGCCGGGAAGGGGGGCCGCGCACTCACACTCGCGCACACGCACACTCCCGACCGCGCCGCCGGCCCGCAGCGGCCTTCCACCTCCAGCGCGACGGCGGGCACCGAACGCACAGGCTGAGCGGGCCGCGAGCAGCCCGCGGGGCCAGCGGCGCATGGCGCCCAACTGTCACCCGCCCGCCCAGCCCGGCCACTCCCTCCGCCGCCGCACGCCCCTCAAGCCGCCACTGGACCCCTCACTAACCTCATATTTTCCGCCAACCCCTTAAACGGATTCCCCGCACACTCGCCATCCCGCCCCCTCTCAAGGCGGAAGGTCCCCGGGATCGGGGAGGGAAACCACCGAATTCAATGACACGTTGGGTTTCCTCTTCTCCCCATTCTCTCCGTAACCGACCCCTCAATCCGTCGCCAATGGCGATTCTACCGCCTGGTATCATCTACTCGAGAACAAAAGTTGTTAACTTTTAAATCCCGAACCCTTGTGGTCTGTATGAACTCATCGCCGGGCGCTTCGCTGCCCATGACATATGCTCATTAAACATTTACAACATGGGGACGATCGCAATGCTACCAAAACGGGGATCGTGGGGCGGAGTGGGGAAGAGGTAGCTTCCCGAGGAAGGTTTAGACTGGGAAGCGTCTCTCACGCCAACACGAGGTGGGAGCGAAGGCCCTTTGCACCGAAACCAGCGCCCACCCGCTCCCGGCCGGGTAGGCCCGGACCACGCCGTTGCCCACTAACCCCTGGGTCCTCCCCGGAGGTCGGGTCCTCGGGCAGGGGCAGATTCTCCAGTGTGTCTGGGAGAAGTGTTCAACGACCCAAATTAGCCAAGAAGCAATTAAAAAAAAAAATTCCCGAGTCACCACGACCAGCAGCGGACCCCCGGGCCCTGGAGGCCGCTGGGGGAGGGGACGTCTCTGTCCCCGGAAGAGAGGCCCCGGTACCCAGGAGAGCAAGCAGGGAGACCCACCTGGAGGGGACTGTCCGTTCACAGCGGCTAGGACCGGCGGCAGCGTGTTCTTAGTCCACGGGTTCACCTTGGGCGGAGGGGCCTCCACGAAGTCCCGGCGCCCGGCGCCCGCGGCTCCGGCCACTCCTCCGGCAGCGCCCGGCTCACCGCCCTCCTCCCCGTCGCTGAAGGCCAGGCCCTCGCAGCTGGGCGGCTGAGGAGGCCGCGGGCTCTCGCGCTCCAGCTGCCCGGTGCCCTCCTTGTGTGGCTTGGCGCAAGGCGGCCGAAGTCTGCGGCCACTGTTGACCTGCTCCCCCCCTCCGATGTCGTTCGCCCCGGATTCGCCCTTGCCCTCAGGCGGCGGCGGCTTCTTCCTCATCAGCCCGTGCTCTTCGGCCTGCAAGAGCGGGGCGCCTCCCGGCAGCAGCGGCTCCACCTGAGTGGCCATCTGCGCGCCCGCCCCCCCGGAGAAGCCGGGCGCGACAGAGGCGGCCTCCCCCGCCTCGAACTTGGCTCTCAGAGCGCCCGCGACGCCTTCCTCCGGGGCGCTGGGACCCAGTCCCTGCTAAGGGTCGGGGTTCACGCTAGGCGCGGCCTCCCTCCCGGTCGGATGCAGGCGCTGTAGATCCGAGGCCCGCTGGCGGGGCGGGGGGGGGGAGGAAGGCCCCCCACTCTGCGGTCCAGGCCTCCTTGGCGCGCGTCCCCCCCCGCCCGTTTCTAGGAAGGCAACCCCACCCGGAGCCTGGCAGGCTTCTCCTCCCGTCCCTCCCTCCCCCCCGCCGCCGGGACGGCCCGAGCTTCCCGGCTCGGGGGATACTGCAATATGGACGGACGGGGGAGAGGCGCGGCGAGCCGAGCAGACCACGCGATCCGCGGCAGGCGGCGGGCGGGCGCGCGCCTCGCGACGCGGCCGGCCAGGGGAGGGACGGCGCCGCGGGGGCGCGCCCGCCGGGGCCGACCCTGGGCGACGGGCGGGCGGACGCGCGCGCTCTCGGCCTCGCGGGCCCGCCTCTCGCCCCGCCCCTCGCCTCCGATTCCTCTGAGCACCTCCCAGGCTAGGGGGTGAGGGGTGCTCAGACCCGACGGGGGCGAGCACGTGCCTGATGCAATTCGGCTGTGGGGGGGCAAGGAGGGAGGCTGGAGACGCGGGCGGGGCGGGATGAAAAGGGGGAGGTGTCTTAAAGGGCCAACAGTTGAGAGCGGCCGCAGGTGGAGCACATGGAGCAAGCCACGCGGCTGGCCGGGCCTGCTCGTGCTCTCCAGGTCGAATGCACAAGGTTTGGGGAAAGGAACCATTACTGTCATCTTCCACTTACAGGATGATGGAGGGGGGTGCCCATCTACCCCGGAGACGCGCAGAGGTAGCCCAGTCCCCTGGCACTCCACGGGTTTGGCTCCTCCAGGCCCCGCTCCGGTGACCTTGGGCGAACCGCCCTCACCTCCGCGAGCTGTGCCCAGCTCCTCCCCGCCAACCCGGGGGACACTGCCCGGAGGTGTGTTTGACGCCTATTCCGGAAGGCGGGTCCTTAACCCTTGGAGGCAGGGGGCGCCTAGGAAGAGGGAACGGAATTGCCAGCCCCCAACCCGATCAAACCCCTGAAACTGGGTATTTATGGGCAGGAAATGTCTTTTCTTTCAAGTGGATTTCGTTTTTTCAACAGAATTGTTTTGGGCGGAGTTGAACCAACCCCTGACTGAGACTCCGGAGGTCTGAGATTTTATTCTGGCCCTGGTGCTGCCCGTTATCAACTCAGCAGCAGTCTCTAACGCAGTGGGCCTCAGTTTCCCTAGTGTAAAACGAAGGAGTAGTGTATGACCACAGTGGTTTCAAACTTTACTGCACATTCAGTTCGATAAATATTTACTGACCTCGTGCTGCGGGGGCCTTTGGGTTCTAGGAAACCGGGGTTTGGCAGTAAACCAGGCTAACAAAGTCCCTATCCTCATGGAATTTATATCCTAAGGTGGAGAAAGAAACAATTAAATAATGTGATAAACAAGTTCTTGTCTATTAGCCATGAAAACGGTACTGACTATAGTAATATGTTAGTAGAGATCAGCTGCTTTGGTTTGGATGATGAGGGAACACTTTGAGCACGGATTCCAAAGCATGTCTAAGAAGACTCCTCGGGTGCTTAGCCACCAGGTGGTCCCACACTTCACTTGGAGAAGTCCTTGCCTCTAACTTAGTTTGTGATCCCACCTGCTCAAGACAGAACAGCCTGGAAATGTTGGCCATCTCCAAGACAATTAGCACCCACAGTCTGGTGGATAGAGGAGAAGGCTGGTTGAAAACTCTCCTGGGACTTCCCCTCAGGACAAGGTTGGCTGTAGGGCTGTTGTAACCAGGGTTGCTGGGGAGAGGTGCTGGTCGGGATAGTCAGGCAGTCTGATGTCTAATCCCATCTCTTCCTTGACTTGAACTCTGCACCATGGCCAGCTCTGCACACTCCCCTGGGCCCCATTTGCTGGTGGGAAAATGGGGGTAAATAATGCTTGACTTGCTTCTACCCTCTGAGCTTTTGTGAGGAGTCAAGTAAGACAATGTAAGCCAAAGAGCTGTGCAAATTATAGAGACTGAGGCCAATGCTTCAAAAGAGGAACTAAAGAAAGTAACGATTAAAAGGATCTCAGTGAATTTAAGCAGGATTTTTCATAATTGTGTTATATACACCTTTAATCAGAAGGTAAATTGTTGCACATTGCCACTGGAATGCAGTATTTTTTACTGTATTTGTTAATCATTCCTGAAGAGAGTTATTCACACTAGGCCACAGGTGGCAAACACAGGGCCCAAGGGCCAAACCCGGCCCTCCACCTTGTTTAATCCGGCCCAGCACCTTGTTTCTACCCAGCAGCAGCGCCTGAGCTCCTTGCCCTACTTAAGTAGTTATACTTATCCAGTCCTAAAATTACATTCAGCCTTTTGAAGGCAACTGCAAGGCTGATGTGGCCCCCAATGAAAATGAGTTTGATGCCCCTGTACCAGGCCCTCTGTCAACTTTGTTAATAGGCTACATAATGGTCATTGTTGGTCATTCTTTTCAATATTCCTGTCATTGGAGGTAGAGGGGAAAGATGCCCCCATACAACTCAGTAGGGGACTCTGAGTACGGCTCTGTGTGGACAAGTAACCCAGGTCACACAGCACCCAGTCTGAACTGAACACCCATGGCCAGGACCTGCTGTGAGGAGGCTAGAGGGGCGCTCAGATCTGCACACCCTGGGCCTAACCCTGCTCCAGAAAGGGGCTTCTCGACACCTGTGTGTCATTTTACAGGTAGGCAAACTGAGGCCAGAGAAGATGAGACCTATGTGAAATTACATCTAACACTGAGGGTGTTAGAGCTAGAAAAAAAAGAATCTGAATGATGACTCAATCTCTTCATTTTGCTGATGAGGACCCTGAAGTTGAGAGAAGGAAAGTTACTTATCCCAGGTCACATAGGTAATCTATGGCAGAGCCAGGTCTCACACCTGAGTACACTGATCCTAAATCCAGTAGCTTGTTCTGCATAATGGTTTGGGATTTGAATTCAAGGTGTGTTTTTTGTTTGTTTGTTTGTTTGTTTTTTCATTCCTAACCCACACAGCATTCTACATGGATGTATTTAGTTTTAACACTAATAGCGATCCAATCGTTAAGAGTAGCTTTTATTGAGTACATAATATATGCCAGGTTCTATGAGAAATACTCGACATTCATTAGCTCCTTCAGCCTCACAATTAACCTAGTGAGATAGGTGTTAATTCTTTCCACAAATATGTATTGAGTTCCTACTATGTGCCAGGCACTAGGCTAGGCCCTGCAAGTATAATTATCTTCAGTTACAGACAATTACAAAATTCAGAACAAAACAAGATGGGTAGCTGGGTCCTAGGCAACAGCTAAATATCAGAGTGGGCTTTTTCAGGGCAGTCTAACTGCACAGGCCCAGTTCTTACCCACCACCCCCACTGTAAGTCCTGTCTCTCTTCCCTGCATTGCCACATCCACAAGTATTCTATGAAGAATCTATCAAATACAGAGACCTGGGGAAGATACTGAAAATCTTGAACCCTGTCTCTCCAAAAGGTAGACTCAAATTGGGGGGACCAAGTAATTAAGCCAATAAAACAGAAAAGAGGCGAGACAACGCATGATTTAGGCAAAAAGGACAAGGATGAGATTAACGTGTGCTGTGCCTGTGACTTTTAACGCGTCATGCGCTGAAAACCCAGACATGCAGAGAAAATCAAACTTGCAAAATAAAAATGACAGAGGGGGTTCAGGTACTTATTTATAACCAATTGTGTGTTTGTTTGCTCCTGGCACTGACAACGTCCTAAAGAGGAAGCCGAATGAAGGACCAGAGAGCCAGGAGACCTGGTTTATAATCTGGGTTTCATCTCCGAATTTGCTGAAAGACTCTGGGCAGCCTCCTTCCTTCCTAGGCTTCCATTTCCCCTGACACAAAATGAAAAGCATGATACCTGCCCATTCGGCTTATGGGGGCGAAGAAAGATACAGCTTCCTTGAAACTTTATTCTGTCTTTTTGGGGGCACAGGTAAAAGTGGGGAAGGGGTGGTTCTTTGAGTTATCTGTGCTAATTAGGAAGGAAAATTTCACACACTTGGATGTGCAGTTTTATCTCCCTTTGAGTTTGATTTTCCAAAGGACCTTGTATTTCTGGGAGAACTTGGGCTGTACCACTTATCTGCTTCTTGTATCGGGGCTTCTAGGCGGGGAGGCCTCTACACTGAGACGGAGGGGTGGGTGGGGTCAGCAAAAGCAGGGGCCTGGGCCAAAACAAACAGTGCCAGCTGGGGAGTGTTTTTCCAAACCCCGAAGATTCTTGGGCCTTCTGATACATGCCAAGAAACTTCAGTTCCTGGGAGGAGGCTCAGCCTAGGTCTCCTCTTGGGAAGTAGATGTAAACAGCAAGAGTTAACCTCACAGCGAGGTGAGGAGAGAGAGAGAGGGTGCTGACTAACTACCACCGTACCACCAGTGAACCCCCGGGGCAAACCTTCCCTGTGAGTATGATTATCCCCATTTTAAAGATAAGGAGGTAAGCTGCTCAAGGGAGTTGGTAAAGGAACAGAATGAATTTGCAGTGAAGAAGGTCTGGGAGAGAACTTTTAACACATTCATTGCTCTAAGGTAAAGAGAGGCACCACCCCAGCCCTTTCTCCTCCATTCTACCTACACCGCCTCTCTTCCCGGCCTTGCTACCCGCCCCGGCATTCCTGCACTTCTTAGGTGGCCTCATGACAGGCTTCCCCACTAACTGTTCTTCCTGCCATATATATATTTATATGCATATGTTCACACACACGCACATATACAGTAGTTCCCTCTTACCCAAGGAGGGGTGTGTTCCAACACCCCCAGTGGTCGCCTGAAAATGCAGACAGTACTGAACCCGGCGTGCGCCGTTTTTCCTATATGTACATTCCTATAATGAAGTTTAATCTATGAATTAGGCATAGTAGGAGATTAACAACAGTAATAATAAAATAGAAAAGGTATAACAGTATGCTGTAATAAAAATTATGTGACTGTGTATGCTTTCCCTTCTCTCCCCCTCTCAGTTGTGCTTCCTCTCTCTCCCTCTCTCTCTCTCTCTCTCTCTCTCTCTCTCTCTCTCTCATAACCAATCCAGCTACTGAGAGAGTAACAGCCGAGTAGCATATACAGTGTGAATGTGCTGGATAAGAGGGTGGTTCACATCCCTAGTGGGACAGCTCAAAGTTTCATCGTGCCACTCAGAATGGCGTGTGATTTAAAATTTATGAACTGCTTATTTCTGGAACTTTTCATTTAATATATTTGGACTGCAGTTGGCTACAGCAAACAAAAAATGTTATGTCTTGTGAAACCAAACCTGCATTAAACCCACTCCCCACAGGCAATCG